AAAAAGATTGGAGCAGCTGGATGTCTGGCTGCACACCGCCACGATCCCTGGCCGTCCCGGGATGGCGGTGGCGTGCAGATGCTGCGTTCGAAGCCCGTCTCTTCCCTCTGCCCTCCCCCTCGCCATCTCAGAAAGAGCGCGTTCTGTGGTCGCTTGGAGGGGGGGGGGTTGGAACCAGACCCCCCCCCGGGATGGAGGGTGTCGAACCCCCCCCTCCCCCTCCTCCCCTACTTCTCCTCTCTCCCTCTCCTCGGGCCAGCGCCTGCGTCGGCGGCGGCTGGCGACCGCGGCGGGGACGACGACTTCCTTTTCTGGGCCGGCGCCGGCGCCTGCGGCGGCGGGCGGCAGCGGCGGGGAGCGTCGACGAGAACGACGGCGACGACGATGACGACGACAACGACGCTCCGCAACCGTGCCTTGGTTTTGGACAAGAGTCCTAATGGATGCCTCTTGGGGTCTCGTCGGAGGTCTCTCGGGGGCCTCTGAAGGGCAGTTGTGCAGCCTCCTGGGCGCCTCTTGGGCGTCTCTTGGGGCCTCTCTGAGGTGATGGTGGTGGTGGTGGTGGTGGTGGTGGGCTGTGGTGGTGGTGGTGGTTGTGGCGGTGGTGGTGGTGGTGGTGATGTGGTTGGTGATGGTGGTGGTAATTGTGTGGTGGGTTTGCGGTGGCAGGTTGTGGTAGTGGAGGTGGCAGTGGTGGTGGTGGTGCGGTGGTTTGTGGTGGTGTGGTGGTTTGTGGTGGTGGTGGGTTAAGGTGGTGGTGTGGGGGTTTGTCGTGGTGGTTGTGGTGGTGGTAGTGGTTGCGGTGGTGGTGGTGGTGCGTTGTACTGGTGGTGGTGGCGGTGGCGGTGGTGGTGGTGGTTGTGGTGGTGGTGGTGGTTAGTGGTGGTGGTGGTTGCAGGTTGGTGGTGGGTTGTGGTGGTGGTGGTGGCGGTGGTGGTGGTTGGTGGGTGGTTTGTGGTGGTGGTGGTTGTGGTGGTGGTGGGTGGCGATGGTGGTGGTGGTTTGGTGGTGGTGTGGAGGTGGTTTGTGGTGGTGGTGGTGGTGGGTGGTTGTGGTGGTGGTGAGTTAAGGTGGTGGTGGCGGTGGCGGTGGTGGTGTGGTGGTTTGTCGTGGTGGTTGTGGTGGTGGGTAGTGGTTGCGGGTGGTGGTGGTGGTGGCGTTGTGTGGTGGCGGTGGCGGTGGTGGTGGTGGGTGTGGTGATGGTGGTTAGTGGTGGTGGTGGTTGTGGTGGTGGGTTGTGGTGGCGGTGGTGGCGGTGGTGGTGGTTGGTGGGTGGTTTGTGGTGGTTGTGGTTATGGTGGTGGTGGGTGGCGATGGTTGTGGTGCTGGTGGTTGTGGTGTGGTGGCTTGTGGTGGTGGTGGTGGTGGGTTGTGGTGGCGGTGGTTTGTGGAGGTTTGTTGTGGTGGTGGTGGTGGCGGTGGTGGTGGTGGTGGTGTGGTGGTTTGTGGTGTGGCGGTGGGTTGTGCTGCTGTAGTGGTGGTGGTTGTGGCGGTGGCGGTGGTGGTGTGGTAGATTGTGGTGGTGGTGGTGGCGGTGGGTTGTTGTGGTGGTGGTGGTGGTGGCTGTGGTTGTGGTTGTGGTGTTTGTGTGGTGGGTTGTTGGTGGTGGTGGTAGTGGGTTGAGGTGGTGGTGGTGGTGATAGTGGTGGTGGCGTTTGTGGTGGTGGCGGCGTGGTGTTGGCTGTAGCACTGGTGCTGCTGGTAGCGGCGCTGGTGGTGGTGGGTTGTGGTGGTGGGCGGTGGTGGTGGTGGTGGTGGTGGTGGTGGTGGTGGTGGTTTGTGGTGGTGGTGGGTTGTGGTGATGGTTGTGGTTGTGGCGGTGGTGGTGATGGTGGTGGTGGTAATGGTGTGGTGGTGGTTTTTGGTGTTGGTGGTGGTGGGTTGTGGTGGCGGTGGGTTGTGGTGGTTGTAATGGTGGTGGTGGTGGTGGCGGTGGTGGTGGTGGTTTTTGGTGGCGGTGGTGTGGCCTTCGGCTCTTCCCGCCACCGTGCTTTGGCTTTGGGTCAGAGTTCTGATGGATGATGCCTCTTGAGGTCTCTTCAGAAGGGTCTCGGGGGCGTCTGAAGAGCATGCGTGAAGCCTCGTGGACCTTCCTCAGGGCCTCTCGGTGGCTTTGGTGGGGCGAGGGCTCGATATGGCGATTTGCGTGTTCCCTCTGCGGTCTCTGGGAGCTCTTTGGTAATCGTCGCTGCGTCTCCGCCGTCGGCGCTGCTGGCTTCCGCCGGCGCCAGTGCCGGCGCCGGCGCGGGGGGGGGAGGGAGGTTTGGAACGCCTCCCCCCTTCCCCCTGGGCCCTCTCTGGTCATCGTCGCTGCGTCCCCGCCGTCGGCGCTGCTGACGGCCGCCAGCGCTGGCGCTGGCGCCGGCACCGAGGGGGGGAGGGGGGGGGTTCGGAAGGGGGAGGGGTTAGGGGGGAGGGGAGTCCCCCTGGTTCTGATCGACGGCGCCGAAAGTTGAGGGGGGGGGCCATGCCCCGGTTTGAAACGCGCCGCCGAATGTTCCCAAGGCAAGCGTCCGTGAAACGCGCTCTCTCCCATCTCATCACAATTCCCATCCTCTCATCTCCACTCGCGTTTCCCCCCCGCTCCCCATCCTCTTATAGTCCCCTCCCTCTCCTCCCCTCCGCTCCTCAACCGCTCCGCCTCCCCGTCCCCTCTTTGACTTGGCATCGCCGCTCGGACGGAGCATTGTGGAACGTTTTGCGAAAATTAGACGCACGAGCTCGAGGAATGCACGGGGGATGGACGTACGAGCGATGGCAAGATGGGAGGATGAGTGTTTGATAGATGCTCGAAGGAGAGAAATAGCATCAAAGCATGAACTGTCGAAGCTCCGCGCGGATTTCTCGGATCCGCGCTCTCCGCGCGCCAGGGAGGGGGGTCCAGCGCCGATCCAAGAAATCTGCGCCGAGTTCCAGGAAACGGCGGCGAGTCCAGGGGGAAGAGAGAAGGGGCGGGCCTTCTCAGAAGGCTCGGAAATTCCCCTGAAAACTTTTCAGAAGGCGCGAGGGCTTCTGAGAAGTCCCGCCGCCTTCTGAGAAGGCCTTCTCCTTCTCACGCTCGCCGCTGGCAGAACTGATGTTTGTACCGTTTTCGTTGCCACTGGGATGCGCCCCCTTGCCATTTTTGGGCCTCCGGGGGCCCGCGTCGGCGCGGGATATGGAGCCGCCTCGGCATCCTGACCCGAGCGCGCCCCGGGAGAGATGCACGGGTTGGGCGGGGGCGAGGGGGCGGTTCTGGTCGGCAAGAACGATCTGGGTTCGGGGCTCTCAAGGGACGGGGGTCGATCCAAACGGAGGTCAGTCAGAGCGCCGGATCTCGTAGGATCCGGCAGGGCCAGGGGCGCACTGACCTGGGCTTGGGTGCAGGATCTTGCAGGATCCCGCAGGATCCTGCAACGCCAGACTGACCCGGATCTGGATTGACCTGGGTCAAATGGGTACGGAAGGAATGGGTACGATGCCCAACTGCAGTTTCTGTTCATTTTGAAGAGGGCTCGCCGTCCGCGCCGCCGCGGACGGTGTCCATTTGAGACAGAAGGCCGCCTGCCCAACATCGGCCACTGCCGGTTTGTGACAACAGCTGTTGTCGGGCATCGCACCCATTGTTGTCCGTACCCATTTCGCGCGTCCAAAGGGGCGATTTTGAGGCCGACGGGCAGGTACCAGGGGCACGTCGACATGGGCGGCTTCTCTTGGCAGCCAGTTGCCCACCCCATGGTCCAGATGGCGCACCAGCCTTCCATGGACGCTTGGAGCAACAACGTTTGCGGCGTGCTGGTGCCTGTCGGCGGCGTCGGCATGATGCAGCCAGCCGCTGCGAGCCCCTGCGGGCAGCAGATGGTGCAGCTGGTCCCGGTGCAGCAGGCGGTTTCGCACCACGCGGCATCCTCGTCCTCCTGCCAGCTGCCGCTCTACCCACCCGGCTGGCATTCCCCGGTGGACGCGACGTCCGACGCGGGCTCGGCGTCCGTAAAGTCGTCTCAGGGCAGCGAGCTGCGGTCCAGGTGGTCTGCTCGGGACGCGGACGCGGCAGTGGTGGAGCTGAGGGCCGGCGACTCCGACGGTCGCAGGGTCTTGCTGGAGCGGATCACGATGGAGTCGTGGCCGATGGCACTGACCCGCCACGGTTGCCGGGTCCTGCAGGTGGCGCTAGAAGTGGGCAGCCCGAATCAGCGGCAGAGCATGGCCTCAGCGATGCGGGGCCGCGTTTGGGAGGCTATGCGGTCACCGCACGCGAACCACGTGCTTCAGAAGATGGTGATGGTGATGCCTCCCGACTGCATCTCCTTCACTCGGGGAAACGTAAGGTTCGAGTTCGCTGGAACTCGTTTTCGCCTTCGCCTTTTGACGAACCCGGCCCTGAATTTTGACGGTCCGGTGTTCGTGGAATGTCTGCAGCGGGAGCTCGCGTCCAATTTCAGATTGGATCTCGTCATTTTCATGATATCTGATAGCCCCGTCAGGCCAACCCGAGTTTGCCGAACCGAATCTTACGTCTCCGACGGCGGCGACGGCGATGGCGATGGCAACGGCGACTGGCGTCGACTGCGACGACGCGCACATAGGGGGTGAGCGGGGGAGCCCCCTCCCCTTGCAGCTCAGGTGGGAGAGGCCCCCTCCCGGGCTCGAGCACCCCAATTCCCGGCAGGGCTGGACCTGAACGCCGCTTTGCTGGGCTTCGGCTGTGCTTTGTTTTTCGTTTTGGCAGGGAGGTACAGGAAAACATGGGTAGAGCAAAACCATAACAAAACGAAAAACAATGTTTAGGTCCAATCCTGCTCCCCGGTCGCGAACCACGTGCGAGGAGCCTTAAGTCGAGCACGTCCCTCCACAGGAGGAATATTCAAAAATAGTCGAAAAATGATATGGGGACGACTTTTTGATTATTTCCAGCTATTTTTGAACACGTTTCGAATATTTTTTTTCCGTCCACAATCCGCCTGTAGGGGGACACGCCCGACCCAACGCGAGCCAGGTGATGCCTCCCGACTGCGTCGTCTTCATGATCGAGGAGCTGCGGGGCCGCGTGGGCGAGGCCGCCCGGCACGCCTTCGGCTGCCGCGTGCTGGAGCGGCTGCTGGAGCACTGCCCCATCGACTGTGTCGCGGGCCTGCTGGGCGAGGCCCAACGGAGGGAAAACCACCCAGACCCGACAATTGGCGTTGACTAAACGGCCCTGGGCGTTTAAGACGCAGCCATGCCCTGTTCGGTTCCTTCCGTGGGTGCGTTTACTGAACGGCTTCGCGTGTCGGGGTGATATGGGGGTGGATTTCCTGCCCTCTAGAGGTCAGGGACGACGCGGTGGAGCTGAGCCGGCACGCCTTCGGGAACTACGTCGTGCAGCACGCCTTCGAGCACGGGTCTTCGACGAAGAAAACACGGCATACGCAGAAACTCTTTTGGTGATCCGCGCGGGTGTTTCTTCCCAGCTCGGATCCAAGAAGTCCGCGCGGGCCGTCGAAAGTTTGTGTTTATGCCGTGTTTTCTTCTTCTAGGTCCACCGAGCTGCGCCACGAGATCGTGCAGGCGATGCTCCCTGAGATCTGCAAGTTGGCTCTCGGGGCAGCTCAAGGCCACGGCGAGGGTTGGAGTTGGTTGGCCTCCGCGTCCCCTGCAGGGCACGGGTGAGGACGAGATGCTTTGCCAAGGATCCACTGTATCCTTCCCCTTGATGGGCTAGTTTTCCACCATCGCTACCATAAATAGAACGGGGGAGAAGGGAGGATGCGGAAGTCATCCTCCTCCTGCTCCTCCTCCTTCTCCTCCTCTCCTCCTCCCTCCCCTACCTATGGTAGTGCTGGTGGAAAATGGGCCCATCAGTCATCGCAATTTGGACGCCCAGGGGGCTGGGCATCCTCACCCGCGCACCCTCTTGACCGACCCGGGCTGCAGGCGGCACGCGGGGGCGAAGAGGGCCGCTCTTCGTGGCCCCGGTTGGAGCTGTGCTCCTCCTCCTCCTCCTCCTCCTATTCCTGCTCCTCCCCCTCCTCCTAGCCATTTCCAGGTTTCGAGCAGGCACAACCTTTGAGGCAGCGCACTTGGAAGTGGCGCAGCTGTCTCGAGCCAAACGATTTCCTCTTCTCGCCCATGTCCGCTGGCCGCGATGCTGTGGGAGGCAAGCAGTTCCAAACATGGGTCTGCAACGACTCCCACTCTCAGTATGCCAACTTCATGTGGCGAACCCATTGTCGTGAATGTGAAAAGATCGGCCCGCCCAAAGCCCAGAACATCCAGAGGCGCCCAGGAGACTCTCCCCCTTGGGCAGACCGCCTCCAGGGTGACTGGGCGCGTGGGCCGCCCCGTGGTGCGAAAGGGGGCGGAGACCAGCCTGGGGGCTCGAACCGTCCCAAGGGAGGTGGCGGAGGCAAGGACAAGGAGCGGGCCCCAGACAATGCGCTCGTCGTCCAGATCCTCCGCGCCTTTGAGAAGCATTCGGGAAAGTCTATGGATGACGTGGTGGCCTTTGCGGAGAAGCCCCCCGCGTTGGAAGAGCCGCAACCCGCAGACCTCAGCTCGAAGTCCCTCCAAGACTTGTTGGACAGGGAGACGCGGAAGCAGAAGCAGATCGATGCAAGTCGGGAGCGAGTCAAAGAGGCAGAAGCAGCCCTCGAGGCTGCCCGAAAGTTCGCGGAGGAGCAGATCGCCCAGCTTGCGGCGCACGAGGGCAATCTCAAGAAGATCAGGGCAGCCATCACCGCCAAGCAGGCGGAGGCTGTCATCCCCAACCAGTCCAAGGTCGGGGATATCAACAGTGGCATCGAGCTGCTGGAGAACTTCGGCAAGATGCTGGACGCGATGGGCGCCCACTTCGGCGTCGACGTGGCAGGGATGGCCAAAGAGACAGCGGCGAAGCTTGAGGAGCAGAAGCAGAAGGCGTCTGAGGCAGCCAGCGCTGCTCGGCCTGGCGCTCCTCCTGCTGGCGCTGGGGGCGCCGCTGCTTCTGACGCTGACGCACCTGCAGGAGGCATGGACGTCGACGGCAAGGTCGAGTTCGACCCCGCAGACCCTGCCATCCAGGCCTGCCTCAAGGAGGCTGGGGTTGACGTCGATGACCCCTCCAAGGCCAAGCGGCTCCTGGAGGCCCTGGGCAATGCTGCCAAGAAGCCCAAGCGCCTTTGATCGCAGGCGGGGCTGCTGTGGAGTGCAAGTGGGGCTTCAGCAGTGTGGAGCTGGAGCGAGTGTTGATACTGATGTGCAGCACGAGATAAGTTTGTGGTCGGCCAATTCTTCGAGCTGGTCGTCGGCGCAGACGTTGTTGGGGTGGGCTCACGACAGTGCTGATCAGGCGCTGCCAGATGTGCTTTGTCTGCAGGAGCATCGCATTAAGAGCGGTCCTCTGTTGGAATCGGCAGTTCGATGGGCCAGGACGCGCACCTACCACATGTACGCGCGCAAGGCTGACTCGACGGGAGACGGACCTCTGCAATCGAGCGGTGGCGTAAGCGTTCTCAGCAGATTGGCGGCCAGCAGGGAGCCGCAGGTCCTGGATGAGCTGTTGCTTCCATCGCACCGAGTGGAGTCGGTGCGCCTCAATGTGGGTTTGTCTGTGCCGCTGCACGTGGTCTCACTGTATTTGGTCACGAGCGTCGGCCTGACCAAGCAGAACATCGACATTCTGACGCAGAACATGGAGTACCCCGGCTCACTTCCTGGACCGTGGATCGTGCTCGGGGACTTCAACATGCTGCCCGAAAAGGTGCAGGAGTGGGCCCTGCGCGCTCAAGCGATACTGTTGACAACGGGTGCACCAACTTGCGGTGGCAGAGAGATCGACTTTGGCGTCTGCTCGCGCGTGCTTTCTGGCTTCATCCACGCGGTGGTGCCGATCGAGGGCTCGACGCTGCAGACGCACATTCCTGTGCACGTTCGGCTCCGAGGCTCGGGGAGACAGGCGCGTGTGACGCGCCCAGTCTTTCCGCTCAAGTTTCCGATCTGCAAGCCGCCCCCTGTGCGGCCTGCACCACAGATTGCTTCAGGCGAGGAGTGGCCTTGGACGATCGGAGAGGCACTCCCTGGAGACCTCGGCGAGGCGCGTGCTGCTTGGTTTCGTCATGCCGAAGCTTATATGTCGGAGTTTCACGACCTGTCGGACTGGGCTCAAGGAGCCCGGAGAGGTCGCGCCGAGGGTTTCAAGACAGCGAATGAGCCGTTCATTCAGGCTTGGGAGCGCTCTCTCAAGCAGCATTCTAGTAGGGAGTACAAAGCCTGGGCCAGGTTCTATTCGGCGGCCTTTCGCTTGTCGGAGTTGGGCGTTGCAGCCAGAGCTCGTCGATGCCCGTCGCTGGCTGCCTTGCGAAGGCAGAGGAATGTTGTCAGCCGCATTGTTCTCGATTGTTGGCCTGAGCCGGGGTCGCTCAGCAAGTGGGCCGAGACCTGACGTCAGGACTTAGTCGATTTAATCGCGTCTCGGGTTGATGGGGAGTCGGCCAGGGTCTCTCAGTTCATGGGGGCTGCGAGGCAACACATGGCCAATCTCCAGAGGGCATCGAGAGCTGAAGCAGCTAGAGCTTGGCGCGAGTGGGCCCAGGCGGCGGTTCTTAACGGTGGCAGCTGCGCCTTTCGCTTCGTCCGTGATTCAGTGCAGCCCTCTGTCATGGAGACGGCGGCAGAAGCCAGCGCTCCTTCGCTTCCTGTAGCAGGCCAGGAGGCCCTTGATTTGATCATGCAGACCTGGACCCCGCTCTGGGTTGACGCAGAGCGTGCGTGCGAGCCGCGCCCTGCGTCGTGGGAGCTCTCGCGGCCCTCTACTGGGGACGCGGAAGCTGGTGGAAGCGCGTGCCCGCGGGGGGTCCACCCGAGGCCCGAGGTTGGCGGAACGCCGATTGGAAGGCTTGACGCGTACGCCGAGCTACCACCAATCACTCTTGAGCAGCTCGATCGAGTGCTCCAGAGTTACCCGGCCAACGCAGGATTGGGGTGGGATAAGTTTCACCCCAGGCAGATGACATATCTCCCAGGCTCGCATCGGCAGGCATTCCTGGACATCCTGCATGCGTGGGAGAGAGCACCAGAAGATCAGGATCTCTGGACGCTCCTGGTCTTCTTTTTAAGCAAGCCCAATCCCCCAGGGGGTGTGAGACCCATCGTCCTGTTCTCCCTCTGGACTCGGGTGTGGTCGAGGTGTCGTCAGGTCGTTGCTCGTCGTTGGGAGAAGTCTCTGGCGAATGCCGCCTTCTGGGGAGATTCGTTGCGCGCCTGTGATAGGTCAGGGCTAGTGCACAATGTGCTCCAGCGGTTCGCTCGTCTGAAGGGGTTTTCGGCTGCCAGTGGGCTGCTGGACCTCTCGAAATATTATGAATATATCTCGCATGAGGAGCTTAGGAGGGAAGCCATCAACACTGGTTTCCCACTAGCCCTTCTTCGTAGCCTCTGCTCGGCGCATAGGCTTCCTCGGCGTGCGGTTTGGCAGGGAGCGGTTGCGCCTGCGGTGGAGGCCAATGGGACCGTCGCTGCGGGGTGCAGCTGTGCGTTGGCGCTGGCGAAGCTGCTGGTGCACACGCTACTCGTGCAGTTGCAAGCCAGGTTCCCCGCGGTTCGATTTCAAAACCTCGTGGACGATTTTTTGCTCCAGGCGCTCGGCACTGCTGAGCAGGTTCTTTCCCAGTTTCCTGAGGCCATGATGGCTTTGGTCCGTGGGCTCCAGGAGAAACAGCTGCGGGTCAATTGGGATAAGACTGGCTATTTAACATCCTCTGCAGAGCTGGCCGCGCAGCTCAACGCTAAGTGGTCTCTCGGCGATGAGGATCGACTCATCGGGGCCTGGTGCTTGGGCACCGATGCTAATGACGGGTCGGCTCGGAGGGTGGGGGAGCAAGATAAACGAATCGCCGAGGCCAGGAGAGTCTCGGCGAGAGTTCAGCAGCTCAGAGCTGCACGCGCTGCTGTCAGCACTATTCAGAGGGGGTCTCCTACGGCGACGGCGGTGTGGGGGAGTGCGGTCACTGGTCTATCAGACCACAAGTTACATGGGTTGAGAGTGTCGGCCCTTCGTGCTGAGGGCCGCCTCCCTGCAGGCACCTCGGTAGGCCTTCGATTGCGCCAGGGGCTCCTTCAGGGACCCTTGGGTTGTGCATACAGTAGAAGTGGCGAAGCAATGGGCTCTTTCGGCCCTCTCGGAGCTGCCAGGGCGTGGCCCCATGCAGGGTTGCTGGGCGGCTGGTAAGGATCTTCTCGGCAAAGCCAAGCCCTGGGCTCACTGTACCGATCCCAGCCCGGTTGTGCTGCTTTGCATGGCGCGCATTGGCATTGCGATGCCCACGGCCTTCTCTTTGGTCTTCCAGGGCCTCGAGTATTCCATGCTGGAATTCACGCCAGGATTTATAGCGGAGCGTGCGAAGGAAGCTGCGCTGGTTTCCACTGACGTTCTTGCTCTGACTAGAATTGAAAAGGGGTGGCGGGGGGCTCTGCACTGGGGGCCTCTCAATCACCTCCTCTCTCGCAGTGTCGCGGACACCTGAACGCCGCATCATAAGGCGGCGCTGCGGAGCTTGGCGGGTGGATCCCACTGGCCACAAGCGCGGCTTTTTAGGCATGGCAAGGCCCAGCATGGTCGATGCTTGATCTGTGGAGGACAGGGCACGCTGTTTCATCGGTTTTACGAGTGCCCGTGCATCGAGGCACACAGGCGTGATGAATGCCCGCCACACGCGCGGACAGCTGCCAGAAAAGTGAGCTCACTGGCGCCAGAGGTGGTGGACATGTTTGATCCATGTCTGTTCCCGTCTCCAGCCCGTTGCTTTCCAATTCAGGAGGCCAATCTTGAGGACCAGCTGATCTGGATTGGGGTCCCCGAGGGCTGGGAGTTTTCGGGGAAAGTTTTTGTGGACGGCAGCGCGTTCAACACTCGGTTTTCTGGACTCTCTCGCGCTGGGTGGTCCATCGTCCAGATTAACGAGAGCGGGCGCCTGGTGGCAGGCGCCTTTGGAGTGGTTCCTCTCAGTTACGCGCCCAACCAAATGGCGCGAGATGGAGAGGGTAGAGCCTTTTCAGGTCTTGGCTGAATACTCTGGGTGGAATGCTGGAGATCCCCTCATTGTTTACTCAGGCTGCGCGGGTTCGATTGAGTGCGCGGTGAATCCAGGCGCGGCGCTCGACCCCGCGAATTCTAGAGGGCACTTTGGGGCCCGCTGGTTGGATGGGGATCGGCCACCAGGCGTCTGTTGTTAAGGTCAAGGCGCATCGCGCGCGCTCCTCGGCCACCAGCTTTGAAGATGATTGGCTGATCCTCGGCAATCAGATGGCGGACCGCTGGGCGAAAAACGGTGCCTTGAGGTGGTCGGCCCCCCCTCAGCAGTGCGCCTTTGTACAGGGGGTCGAGGCCATGGCCCGCGATGTCTCGAGATGGCATGCGAGGGCCCAACAGTTGATGGTTGATGGGGGTTCCTCGACTCTGAGGGGGTTGTTGGGACCTCGGATATCACATTCGAGCTCAGCCCTTTCGAGTGGGAGAGCTTGGCCAGTGCGGCTTGTGAGGAGGGGGTGGGGCCGTTTGCGGCGATCCCAGGCGTGGTTCCTGCCGGGGGAGCTGCGTCCTCGGCCCCCCTGCCGCCTCCTCCGCCGCCGCCGCCCCCTCGGTCCTCCCCTTCTGCTGCAGCTGCGGGAGGTGAGGGGGGCCCTGATCTTCAGGAGTGTTCTGGGACGCCTTGGGCTCTCAATCGTCACTCGGTCGTCAAGGCGTCGGTTGTGCCCCTGGCTGAAGGGGCGGATGTAAAATCTGCGGGTCCTCGGCGCATAAGATTGTTCGGTCGGGCGAGGGGCTGGGCGGGGCGCGCCGTGGGAGGGGGGCTCCAGGACTGCGGACTCAGCGCTCCCTCCTCCGCCGAGGGCTCATGCCAGGGCGCCTCAAGGCGCGGATCGTGGACGTCCGCGGCCCCTCAGGCGTGGACATCGGGGCCTGGGCCACCCGCTTCCCCTCCCTCGCTGGAGGCGCGCGGGGGCAGGAGGCGGGGAGTGGGGGCGTTCAGTCGAAGAGTGCTCCAGCGGCCTTTGAGGTCAAGTATGGCACTAACGTGCCGCAGCTAGACGACAGGCAGGTCGCATTGTTGCACGGTTTTGTTTCCCCCTCGGCCGTGGTGGACTTTTCCAGGTCCCTGGGGAGGGGGGATCCCGAGTTTTATGAGGAGCCTGCCGAGTGGTAGGCCTGATGCTCTGCGGAGAGGGGGCCCTGCCCCGTGTAGTCAGCACGCTCAGCGCACCCCCCCTCCTCCTCCCCCCTCCCCCCCCTTCGTAGCCATTTTGGCTCAAGATGCGAGATTCCTGGGAGAGTCAAGTGGATACCGCTAGTCCGCGGCAAGCCTTCGTGATTTTCCAGCAACCTCAGGGGCGAGCTGCCGCCCGACTCAAGCTCGTCTCGGCCCCACCGCGGGCCATCGGATGCCCCCTTCGAAGGTTTCCTTTTCGTGGGGTGGGCAGTGCGGCAATTGGGCGTGCAACTTCCGTATCCGCAAGAATGGAGGCAAGTGCGCGAAGTGTCAAGCTCCGATCGAGATATACCAGAAGCTTGCGCCGTGGTGGAATCAAAATTCGGGCGGCTACGCGTCGTTCGCTGCAGGGGCCGAACCCGACCCCACCCTCCTCTTGGCGCAGCTTGCACGCCTCCCCATGTTCGCAGGCGAAGTGCGGACTCAGGCGGCGGTTCAGCAGCGCTACAAGGAGCAGCAGACCACCAAGAAGGTCACCTCCCCTCATTTTGACTATTCCCACACGTCGAGGGTGTTGGAGAAGAAGGACGCGGCCTTGGCCCGCGCCTCGGCGGCGGCGGTCGCAGCCGACCAGGCCCTCGCGGTCGCGCAGGGCGCCGCGCGGGACGCTGCCCTGGAGCAGCTCCAGGCGAAGGCGGCCCATGACGCGGCGGTCGAGCGCGTCGCGGCGCAGGCCAACATCAAGAGTGTCCCCGACGGCTTCACGTCGGACGGCAAGCGGGTGGTCTTCGCTGTGGACGACCAGCTGTTCGCCGACATCGGCGAGTTCGACTCTGAGCAGCAGACCCAGCTCAGGGAAGTCGAGGCTCAGATCAGGGAAAAGTGCGACTAGGTCGCGGCGCTGTTGGCGGAGGTCCACGCGCAGTACGAGCGCGCGCGGGCTGTCCGCAGCTCGCGCCCGAAGCGACAGCGCGTCTACGAGAGCGGCACCGCGGCCGCTGCTGGCGAACCCCCAGCG